AGGACTCTCTTAGCAGTGGGAGGAAACCGGCGGACCCTGAGAAAACCCACGAAGTTGGACTTGCTAAAAAAAAGGTTTTGACTTGTTGTATCTGTTCCCATCTGTTCTTTAATACCGTTTATCTGAGATTTTCATACACGGAAGTTCTTCCCGATCATATGTTTGGGTGTGAACCCACTAAAAACTTATAACATCTCTCAGAACGGATACTGGATTATCTTCTACGCATGTATGGGATGGCTATAGTTTGAATCAGATATACGCAGAATGGCACAAGACAGACAGGAATGTGTTTGTTTTATCTTTGAAAATATTAGATAATGTATGAAATATTACAGCATGGTATACATAAATAAATAAATAAACTGCTTACGTCAAGATTCATTAATAATGGCATTGTAACTACATTATTCCCAGATGGTAATCTCCCGGAAACACGTGACCCAAAGACCTATATTACAGCTGCGCGAACCAGAGCCTCGCACCAGATGCTGTCGGTTTATTTGGATATGTGTTTTACGACATCAAAAAACATTTTAAAAAAGTTTTTTTTTACATTTAAACATCTGTTAGTTGTAAGACATACACGTGCCGCTTGTCTTGTAATTTTTACTACTGAAAAAACACATTAACAACAAATGAAACACTTCCGTTACATTTCACGCATTTTTATTCACATTCTTTATATGGTTGATTAAAAGGGGCATTAGGTAAGATTAGATAAAGAGCTGACAGTTCTCACTATAATAGTTGAAACATAGATAATGACAAAAAAAAATATGTTACAAATTTCAGTCATATTGCTTCACTCTGAGCCGAAGAATCGGCGATATAATTATATTCTGGCCTCTATTGTCATTTATACCATAACAGAACACAATTTTATGAGAAACAATCACTGGTTTTAATCTAAAAGCACGACGTTTCGACAAGTATCCTCTTATCGTTATCAAGCACAATGACATTTATACCGTTGTTACAATAATAAACAAAGTTTCGATTATCCACTTTTACGTTAACTCATCCATCAGAAAACGTATTCAAATCCAGTAAATATCACAGGCTAACGATGACGGTGTTTGTCCGTCTTAAACATACATTATGCAAGAGTTAAATATGCCTATTGAAGGTATTTCTTTAGGTATTGAATGTTATCTAAATTATTAATTATACATTAACTAACTTACTAAGACCAAACTCAACTCTAATAGATTTGAATACGTTTTGCGGTGGATGAAATAACCGTAAAAATGGATAATCGACACTTTGTTTAATATCGTAACAACTATAGTTATTAAATTAGTATCGCTCATATCTGGGTTCAGAGTGAGCCTATTTGACTGAAATATTTTTGAATAAACTCCTTTTCATTATCTATCTTTTTAACTATTATAGCGAGAACTGCTAGCTCTTTATCTAATCCTATTGCCCCTTTAATACGCGCGATCGGTGCAGAAAACTAAGACGGCAACACCCATTTCATTTCATTTCTAAAAAAAAGATTAAACAACTCCGTTCCGCGAGAAATAGATGACACTACTTAACGCTAAATAGGGCAGCAGATATTTTGAGAGTTAGATTTCAGAAATTGAACCAACTTGTTGTATAAGAAATGTAATTTATTGATAAACCATAGCGGCACTATCATTAATTTAATGGTTATCGTCGAGCAAATATCTATGAAGGGGCTTTTTTTCTTATCGCATAGTTTCTCATTTGGGAATAGGATGTCCAGATTACGATGTGGAAATAGATTTAACCTAGTTCAGTTATCGTGATCAGAATTGACCAAAATGGGGGGTTGGATGGCTGAATGGTTAGCGTGCGCGCGCTGTATCATAAAGTCTGTCATTGAGTCGACTGGCGTGGTTTCGAATCCCCGGTTGTACGTGACAAGGAGTAGGGTCGCCTGTCCAACCTCGTGGGTTTTCTCCGGGTCCTCCGGTTTCCTCCCACTGCTAAAGACCCCTATGCGCAAGCGAATTATTGAAATAAAATTAAACCATATGTTAGTCCCGAAATGACCTAGTTTGTGTCGAGTGGACGTTAAACCCAATTTCTCTCTCTCTCTCTCTCTCTCTCTATTGACCAAAATATATAAAAAGAGCTGAAACCAATTCTTGACTTATTCTACTGCCATTAATCAACGAGCCTCGGTGGATCAGTGAGACGCTGACTGCTTAACCTGTTGTCCCTGGTTCAGTGAGGCGCTGGTCCCCTAACCAGCTGATACCTGGATCAGTGAGGTTCTGGCTCCCTAAACAGCTGTCCCTGGATCAGTGGGACTATTGGTCCCTAATCATGTGCCCCTGGATGATCGATCCCGCTGTTGGCCAGAACAGTTCCTCTGGTTTTTCAGCGTGGTTGAAATTGTTGGTGATGCAGGACGAAATGGAATGGGCCTTAACGTCCTAATGTTCTGCTCCGGCTGGGCTAATGAAGACGGGCATACTGCACTATACAGTGTGCTACGTGGGAAATTTTGACCGGGCAGCGGCGCTACAGAATACTCTTATATCGAATTCCAACTGTCAAGGTATCTTTTACGTGCACGTCAATGTGTTCACGGGACATCGTTTTTTCGTTCCATCCAAACGACTAAATAGATGTCCTTGTCAGGCCCTCCATCCTACACCATGTATAGTAATTCGGATGGTACCAAAAACGACGGTTGGAGAATAAGTGGAAACGCCCCTTTCTGGGCAAACTTACCCTCATAGCACACTGCATGGCGTATTCTGATCTTTATAAACAGAAAAGTAGGAGGTTCACCCCGATTTCATTGCCGCCATGCAATATTCATATTAAGAAACTGTTTAATTTATTCACGCTTGAACAAAAGGTAAAATTAAATTAACGGTGCTGAATGTACAGGGTTTAATTTTACTAAAAATGAGTGAACGCAACCCTGGGAATGCAATAATACTTCCCATAAGTGGAACTTATTCTAAATCTATTAAGCATGCTTTGCATTTTGCACAACACTCGTCAATACTCTGTTGTTTACAGAGAGGGCCTAAGTAAGCAATAGGACTCAGTGACGTGGTTTTACATCCCCTTGGTTTCAATGTGGTTTTCAACGATGTTATCCTAATAGTAATGCTCAAGCCAATACCGTGGCTTATATATGCTAGAAATCAACACAGCCCACACACACACAATATCTCGGTACTGGGAGGAGAGATCCCTCCCTGTCCCTTCTAGGAATAAAAATATTGGGTTTTGGTGTCCTCTCGGGAATTTTTTCCCCTAGGAAAATCAATAGTCACCACATCCCAGTGTTTAGGGGGTGGCTGAAAAGAGAAGTGTTAATCAAAGGTTGTGTCAAAATCATCTTCTTTTTTAAACAAAATCACCTTGAAAAATAAATTTAAATTTTCCAGATAACTTCTGAATCGACAGATCCGTACACCCTACTTTCAAACCAGATCTTATTATTTTATCTATAAATTACGTAATAAACCATAGCTATCATTAGCATTTAATTTAAGCATACGCCTCTATTATCTTATTATAAAGAATCTTTGAAAATTTATTTTGAAGTTTTTAGATAACCTCCTTCCTGCAAGACCCAGAACCAGTTTCTTCCCATCCTTGTCAAAATATCGTTTTCACGTCTGGCTTTAATGATGTTTGCAATACGGCACGTGCTTCGTGTAAAAGGCTCGTGTCCTAATTTGACCTGTAACCTCGGCACAGAGCGCCCTCGGGTGATAAGATCCGGTGTGGCAGACAGATGGTAGCACGTGATGTTGTTCCAGCGATAAGATTAGGTATCACAGGTTCCAACTGAGACGACATTCCTGACATTATAAAATGATGAATTCCTCTTTTAACCGAACTTTAATACCGGCATTTCAGTATGTGGGGATCTTTGTTCAAAATAACAAATTCCCGTTCTTAAACATCACTCATGTATCAGAATTGCTAGTGTTACAAATGTGATAAAGAATCTTCGGTATCTGAAATCTATGGCGGTATATTAGATTCAAAATTCTAACATGCTATCGTCTAATTTCTTACTTCTACTCATGTAATTTCTAACTTCTATTCATGTAATTTCTAAATTAAGACAATGTATAATCCAACTTCTTTTTTTTGTTCAGTGTAAATTTTAATTCTGTTTCATCTTATTTTTATAATTAAGACGAAAAATGTCTACTTTACATGTTAAGCATGAAAGTCAAACAAATTTAGAATTTTGATACTTCTTCTTAGCAACCATCATTATGACGTTTGGTGTCGCCACCGTGTGATCGGGACCATTATGTTGATACCAACGAATCGCTCTTCGTCAGGTTGAATGGTTTGGCGGAGTGTTGAAATTGAAAACAACATCGAACGTGACATGGTTTGCAAATTGAAATACTATTTCAAATATAAGCTAAACCGTAAATGTTGTTTAGCTTGTATTTGAAATAGTATTTGCCAACAATATCACGTTCGATGTTGTTTTCAATGTCAGCATCGAGAGCGACAACAAAGAGAAATAAGATCAAACAGAATTAAAATTTACACTGAACAAAAAAAGAAGTTGGATTATACATTGTCTTTTTGTCTTAATTTAGAAATTACATGAATAGAAGTTAGAAATTACATGAATAGAAGTTAGAAATTAGACGATAGCATGTTAGAATTTTGAGTCTAATATACTGCCATAGAAATCCAAGTCCAAATCATTGCTCCAGTTTAGTGACGGGTAATGAGAGATAAATGGGAGGGGAACTACCGCTAACTTAACAAAGGCTATATCCTTTTTGGACTGATATCTAGGGCTTGGGAAGGCAAGGCGCTACAAACCTTGGGATAGGCAACCAAAAGTGACAGCAGGGTTTTGGGTTTGGGGTTTTTGTCTTTGAAAATCATCTTTAATTTGTATGAATGTCAGTTGATTAACGCTCTTTAGATAGTTTTGGCCTTTCTCTTTAAAAGACAATTTGATGCACAATAACGTACTAATCGACGGTGACGATTTCCATTTCTTTGATTTTGATTTTCAGTTGAATACCATCTCGAAACCGACTGGACCTCCATCTTTCAGCAACAGAAACATAGCTCCCACATCTTTCAGCAACAGAAACTTTGATACTCCACAAACCAGCTTTAAGCGACATAATCTTTGGTACTCGACATTCCAGCTTTAAACGACAGAAACTTTGAAATTCTTTAAAACAGAATCAGCGACAATCCAGCTTTAAAACAGTGGAAGATCAACAGCCTAGATTTAAAACGAGTGAAACGTTGACACAGTAGCTTTAAATGCCCGACACTCTTAAGACTCCAGATTTCAAACAAATGACAATTTTATAATCAGTCCTCCAGAAAAGCATGGGAATTATGTGTACATTTATGACGTGCACGTAAAAGATCCCTTGACAGTTGGAATTCGATATAAGAGTAGGCCGTAGCGCCGCTGCCCGGGCAAAATTTCCCTCATAGCACACTGTATGGCGTATGCCCGTCTTCATTAGCCCAGTTTAGGAGCAGAACAGTAGCATTTTAAACCCCATTTCATTTCATTTCATTTCTTTTATACCTTAAGACCAGAAAAAAACAATCTTAATACATCTCATTAATAATTATCTTTTCTGTATCTGCATGGTTAAAAGAATTGTTTTAATTGTAAAGTTTTAGAAATGGTCAGTATTTCATCGATAAATTGATTGAAAAAAGAAAAAAATTAGACGAGTTAATTGAAAATTAAATTTAAAAACAAAGATATATTACAAATTACCGGGTGACTGGCCCAATAAAGTAATGAAATGAAATGGGGGATGACTTCTCGGAGTTTCTGATATATGAGAGAATTATTCGCCTAACAGCGATGCTACGTACAACATAAAGCTCCCGAATTTCGCTTTCCAATTGTCAGAGGATCGTTATCATGCTTCCAAAGGTAGACGCCTTTCCGTACCAGGCCTTCTGTGTCCTGCATCACTGACATTGGGAAACCAGGCTGGAAAATCACGGATAACTTTGATACGGAACCGACGGAATTCACATTGTTCCAGAGATAATAATAACATTGGTCGTGCACAAGATAAGCTATTCTTATTCTTAGTCATACCCTTGCTATCAAGTATCGTAAGATTTGATGGGTTGGGATTTTTTTTCGTTTTGAGAGTTTGAAAGGGCCAGTTAAAGATGCATTATGTAAGAGCTAAATTTGCCTAATGTAGATCTTTCGCTTGGCCTTAAATATTATATAAACCATTCATTAGACATTTATTCGCGTCTCATAATCAACTCGTAACAACGGTAGCAATGACAACCGAGACTACACTCGTTATCTAAATCTTACATAATGCATCATCAGTTAATAATTCAGTTTTATATTTCTTCTCAAATATAAAAGATAACATATCAAACAATTATTCGATACATTTTATTTTGCTTCAGCAACATTAAGTAAAATAGGTTGAAATAATGCCTACCCGTGTGGGCAGCCAAGAGTGTCTTTGCCTCCGCAAGCTGAAACCCCTCGATAATAAACAGAAATATTTTTCTCGGGATATTCAGGCTGTGAATAAATGTGGATATACATTTGTGGCTATAACCATTTTCAGAATGATAATCTGACTGAAATGAGAATTTATCAAAATGAGGAAATATGACTAAGAAAGGTGCATTGATATCAGGAAATATGTTCTTATCTTAATACCCTGCTTCTTGAAGAACTATATAGATAGTCATCAGACTCCCATAGAGAGTACTCCGTAGTTGGATTTCGTTTCGTGCGATGATTCAGAAAAAAGCCCGTCTGAAGTGTATTTGAGTGATCATTGGTAAAAGATCACTTACCTAATAATCAATTGATGATACTTATGATCCAAGTTGATCTGGAAACAGGTGTGATACTATGAAGTGTATTGGTGCATAGTAAACTAGTTAATAATAATGCTAATATTTAACGAAGCTTACGTGTCTGTAACTGAAAGCCGGTCCTCTCTCGTTTTTCGTTATATTTTATTTTTCATTCCTAATTTTATACCTATCCAGACTTAAGAAGAAAATCAGATGTATAAAAAGAAAGAAACGAAAAAAGATCTAACAACTCAGGGGGGTGGGGTGGTCTACAGTACCGCACTTCTACCTCTAGCTGGCCGCTCGATCACCTCTGGCTTGCAGTTGTGGTTTTGTGAAGACTTAAATTTATTTTCATTTAAATGCTTAAAAAATACAGATTTTTAAAGAATTGCTAGTTTGTTTCATTTTTGTTTGTTGTTTGTTTTTTTCATTTCAATGATTCGATTGCAGGTAGCATATAAGGTATATGGTGTAGATTACCGGTCGTACAGGTAGTTATTAGCAAAGTTAACACGTTAAAAACAGGTGTATATTTCACCATGTATCAATCACAGGAACACACCTTAGATTGTTGGCTACAAGGATGCCCCACTGAGCCTCTATCATTTACACTGACTATCAAAGGTATACTATTTTAGTTTACTTGGTTGCTGGGTATATCTTTCACTTCTATCTCAATTTACTGTTATCTTTACCATGATTTAGGTGATACATCAGCGGGTTTTAGTATTAGAATTACTTTGATGGAGAGTGCTTGAGTGTTCGTCTAAGTTACTTTGATTTTCTGCGTAGGTTGAGAGTTTAAGTGACTAATAAGACAGATTCTTGAAAAAATACGTTTTCAGTTTTAACAGAGTTCCATTTAATAAAGTTTGATGTAAAGTTCCACGCAGCGTAGGTTGAGAGTTGAGGGGAATAAAAAGATAGCTTCTTTAAAAAAAAATAAGACACGTTTTAAGTTTTTGCAGTGTGTTTCATTTGATAAAATTTAATTTTAAACTAGACGCTGCTGTATGAAGGCATCGGGGTTTTTTGTGGGTGGTTCAGTGAGTATATAGTTGATTCACCAACCTGGAGTGTTCCAATCTAGTTTCCCCATGTCAGTGATGGTGCAGAATTTTAATAAAAACGATTAGTCCTTAGGATAGAACGAAAGAACCGAGGTCCACCTGTTGTACTTGTTGGCGTATAGGTAAAAGTACATTTGACAGTTGGCATTCGATGAAGAGTGGGAGCAAACGCCGCTGTCCGGGCAAAATGTCCCTTATAGCAAATTGTATAGCGTATGCCCACTCTAGTCAACTTGGTAAGACGTTATAACCCCATTTCATTTCGTTGTCGTGTCTGAACTCAGTTTGTTGGTCGCTTTGTGACGTGTTCATACTTTCATACGTATTTCACATTGCCCAGCATTGATTTACAGCAGTAAATGATTGGTTGTTTAAAAGTTTACTAACCAATCGTAATTTGGCACAGAAAATCCAACAAAGCTTGTTTTGACGTTTGTTTCATAGAAACGGAAATCCAAGACTTGCGGAAGAAGAGTCCAAACGTTTCTACTTGCTAGATTGTAGAACGAAAGATATGTAAGAAAATGGGAATCAGAGGAACCGTGGGTTGTTATACAGATGCCTGGCGTATGACTCAACCCGTTCTCACGATATATGTAGGTTTTTTTATACTTCTTGCTAATATTACCATCAGTATCTATACACACAGTCAGTATTTGTTAAAATAACACAACATACACACAAAAACATCTACTCGTGTAGGATATCAGAGAGAGAGAGAGAGAGATGGGGTTTAACGTCGACACAAACTATGTTATTTCGGTAATAACATATGGTTCAATTTTACTTCAATAATTCGCTAAAGCGTAGGGGTCTTTAGCAGTGGGAGGAAACCGGAAGACCCGGAGAAAACCCACGAGGTTGGACAGGCGACCCCACTCCTTGTCACCTACAATCAGGGAATCGAAACCACGCCAGTTGACCCAATGACAGACCATATGATACAGCGCGCATGTGCTAACCATTTGGCCATACAACACCCCGTGAAGGATATCAACACGAACGTGGTGCTTCCACTGATTTTCTTTGATGTCGTGTACGGGTTAATGTATGATGAATCTACTATAAACCACCGGAGAAAACCCACGAGGTTGGGCAGGTGACCCTTCTCCTTGGCACGTACAGGCTTGTGATCGAAACCACGACACTTGACTCAGTGACAGAGCTGACGTTCTAAAGCACACGCGTTAGATTCAAGGTTTGCCGCGAAACCGGTAATCTGGATTTCTGAATGATGAAGTCAAATTATAATTCATTATTTTAGAACCGGATCCTTGTCTTAGATCACTGGAAATGGCATTTCCGAGGGGAGATCAACCGGACCTCTCGTTGTGCGCTTCGCATCATCGACGCTCGCTGCTTGCAGTTTCGTTGCTCGTGCCCCCCTCCCTTCCCATCCATGGTCTCTGGATTCGCCATTGAATGTTGTATTTTGTATATCACACTGCTATCCTCTCCGTGACAGAAATCTTGACCAATATTATGCTCTATCGTCCAGGTTATGGGATGTTCACAGTCTCCTTCCCGCTTGTGTTTAAAATCTAAAGTAAATAGTCAGCCTCCTGTAGTAAATGTCTTGGCATCCCCAGACCCAGCCCATATCATAGACCCTAAAACGAAAATACGAGTATGCAATACAGACGTCTTCGATGTGTATATAGCACCTTACGCACCATTTCATTTCCTTACAGGGTGACGTCGCCGACACGAAATATTAAAATATTTGACATAATTATTTACTGGATAATGGACGCCACACATGCTTTATCTTCCGGTCTTATAACTCATCACCTTCTCTTACACGTACATTCTTATAACTTCCAAAATACACACCATTAGAACATTTATAATCCATCGTTAAATTGGTATTGACGGAATTTACGACGGGAATGTGTTAATAGGGCAGTTAAGTAATACCCATTAAAGAATTCCAAAACAGGGGGCGATATATAACAAATAAACATCCCTGGTTGTCTTGGTGACGCGTGTCGACGCCACGTGCACTGCGAGAATATGATATTCTCACGAGATAACTATGAGATAATGGCGGGGACATGCAGTTTTATTTAATTTGATATCCTGTAAAACTCTGTCTAAATACATGGGTTTTAAGATAAGCAACAGACAGAAAAAAGAAAATATCTTAAGCGTCAAATGATAAACTTACACAGGGGTTCTTTAAATGTCAAGGTCGTATTTTCTGTAATTGATATTTTAAAGTAAATCTTCAAGAGAAAATTGTGGTAGAGAAGGAATTCTCTAGAGGTCACTTATAATGTCTGTGAATTGAAATTGGTTTTAATGTCTTACGTGAAGCCGTCGTGGCTCAGTGGGTAACACGGCGGCTCGCTAACATCGAGGTCCCATGTTCGATCCCTGCGGTTGCCGAGAAAGTTCATGGGGATTTTCCGGCTTGATTCCACCTTGTCAGTGGCGCAGGGCAGAGGGCCTGGCAAGGGACAGCGTATAGTCGTTCGGATGAGACGAAACACTGAGGTCACATGTACTCATTGGGGTTCACGTAAAAGATCCCTTGCCAGTTAGAATTCGAGTAGACCGTAGTCGCACACTGTATGGCGTATGCCCGTCTTCATTTGCCCAGTCGGAGCAGAACAGTAGGACGTTAAACACCAGGAAACGATTGAAATCAAAGACATTTTGCC